GAAACGTTCGCACGCGAGACCGAAGATCTTGAGCCCGAGTCCCATGTGCGGGTTCGTGAATGCGCACAACTGAAGAGTTCAATACTAGGATCGGTCGGACGTCCACTTCTTCAAGGTTTTCAATGGTGGTCTAACAATGATCCATTCATGATATCAATCTCAGTAGAAATGAGAAAATTAAAATACTTTTATAAGAACAACCTGCCATTGTTAGTACTCTTTTAATGGAAATAACAATAATTTCCAAGTGACTTCACGAAGTTCTAGTAATTACTGCATACTAATGAAGTTAATCGGAGGTCATCTAAGAAATTTAATAACTAATACTTTACATCACAAATCAAGTGATATTTAAGATATGAAACTTCAAATTACGACTTAATGTACGACTTATAAAGTGAAATATTTTGTTGTATTGCAACAAGATAGTAATTAGTTTTTCATCCAGCAACAAAGTCGATTTTATTAACTCAAACTAACTTAACATCAGACAGCTGACAGATGCATTCCTGGTAACGACCGGAATTAGACAAGGCTGTCTACTCTCACACTTCCTCTTTCGTCTGGTGGTCGACTGGATTACAAAGACCTCGACATCTGATGAAAAACAGGGAATACAATGGAAAGATCATAATCAAATAGAAGATTTGGACTTGGCAGATGGCCTAGCCCTCCTATAGCATACATACGAATAAATGCAGATAAACACAACCAGTGTAGCAACAGTCTCTGAATCAGTAGGCCTCAACATACACAAAGGAAAGCCCAACATCCTCAAATTCAAAACGGAGAACAGCAATCCATTCACTCTTGGTGGCGAAACTCTGCAAGATGTACAATCCTTCACATACCTGTAAAGCATCATCGATGAGCGAGGAGGTTCAGATGCAGACGTCAAGGCGAGGATTGGCAAAGCAAGGGCCACATTCCTACAACTGAGCAACATATGCAACTCAAAACAACCGTCTATCAACCAATATCGAAGTTACAATCTTCAATGCGAACGTCAAGACAGTCACTTCTACTGTACGGAGCTGAAACTTTGAGAACTACTACAATCATCATCAAGAAGGTACAAGTAGTTATAAATGGTTATCTAATCAAGGTACTCAGCATCCTTTGACCGGATACCACCAGCAACAGCGTTTCGTGGGAGAGAACAAACTAGCTTCCAGATGAAGAAGAAATTAGAAAAAGATGATGGAAATGGATAGGATATGCATCATGCAAAAACATCAAACTGCATCACGAGACAAGCACTAACTTGGAATACTAAAGTGAAGCGGAAAAGTGAAAGGCCAAGCAACACATTAAGTCGGTAAATAGAATCATATATGAAAAGGATGAATAGTAACCGGAAACGACTGGAAAGGATTGCTTGGGACGGTGTTGAATGAAGAATACTAGTGAGTGGTCTATGCTCTTTGACGAGGGTTAACAGGTGTAAGTAAGTAAGTAACTTAACATCCCATGAACAGTTCAGGTTTCAAACATTAGTATATATATATATATATATTGCTTTTCCACTTCGTATTACAGTTTCCCGTTTCATACAGTATATCCAATGTATCATATTACAAAATGTTTAACACACTATCTAGCTGATATTTCACAAAGTCAAACATTTAAAGTTTGAATGAAAATTACATATTTATTATATTTTCAGAAAGAGGTTTAGTGGATATTATAGTAATTTCAGTAGTTGAGATCATGAGTCAATTAAAACAACATTATCATTGAGAAGCTTGAAGCACTGAACGGCCGTTTCATTCTAATGTGGGACTCTTCAGAAGTGCTCTACACGCTGTTGCTCGCGGAATTAGAACCCAGTATCCTCAGTTTTGCGCGAGAACGTTTCAACACTACACCATTGAGCCGATATCGAACAATGTTAGTGTCTAACTTCAACCAATCCATCATGGAAAACCTGGGAGCATTGGACGACCTTTTCATCTTATTATGGGACTCTTCAGCATTGCGTATCCACGACCTTGCCTCGCGTGATTCGAACACAGGACCTACTGGTATCGCGCGCGAGCACTTAACCACTAGACCACTGAGGCGGCCGACATCCAATGGTGTTAATGTCTAACTTCAACTAATCGACGAAATTGAGCAACACATCCACCATTGTCATCAGTGAGTTACCATCTCACAACAGACCTGGTTGAACTCCTCTGATCACTACTTCTCACTAGAACTCCAGGATATATATATATATATATAATTCAAATCAAAATAAGCTTTGCTTGTTTTTGAAAAAATAGAAAACTGACCCAAATTTAAAATATAAAAAAAAACACAACTGAGTAGTTAGAGGAGAACATTAAGTATAGGCAATAATTATAATACACGCAATACATGTTAAACCTACTCTTATTAGTAATAATATTATTACTATTACTAATGACAATAATAATAATAATAATAATAAGCAGGTGTCATTAATTGGTAATGAAGTTTCTATAATCTAGTTCACATGGAAATTATATTCATTGTAATGTTGAAAATAAGATAAAATTTAAGAGGGGGGGAGGGGTAATGATGGATGATGTTATGATTTTCATGATTAATCAACAACATTCGTGTTGTATACTCCATATGGATACTAATAATTGTTTTTTAAATTTTATTTTCATATTGCACATGATCTGAGTTGGTAAGAAAAATTGAATGCAATTATATAGATCCTTATATATATATTCATGCTGTACGTAAAGTATGTCATGTGATATAGTTGTGATTATTCTATTATATTAGGAAAACAAACGTCGTGGAAGAGACTCGAACCCTCAATCTTCGGATCCGGAAACCGATGCCTTTTTTATTAGGTCACCAACAGGAGCTGATATATAGCGTAAGTGGGTAACTAAGTAATTCCATTATGTTCATAATAAAGTATGGACAATTTTGTATATAGAATGATTTTGACTTTTGTTGACATGCGCATAGTATATATAGGTCACATATTATTATTATTGCCCCTGAATGCTCTGGTACGGCCGAGAGTGAGGAGAGTCCGTTTTCCCTCTCGAAATGTTCTCACATGGCTACACGTATACAGCCTCTGCCAGGGAAGTCCTACTCACTGACTTCTCGTGACGGGGGTGTTGTTTACGAAATTCAGAGGACGAAAAGCGAATGTCCAGCGCTTTAACCGGAATCCAAACCAATGGTGCACATGGGCTCCAGTATCCTGAAGGAACAAATGGCATATGAACCAATCGTTGGTCACCGGTTACCATTGGACTGCATCTCCTTACGATGCTCCACTGCCTTGTGGATCAGACCTTCAGGTCGAAGGCTCGTGGAGTGGCCTCCTTAGAAAACCACCTATTTCGGTTTGGGCATCCGGACAGTATCACAGCTCTCACACACATCAAATAAGATCTGTGTGGCGCATATGTATTTGGTGCCTCCTTGTATCAATATCTATGTGTTCAAATAAAATAAAGTAATTATTGTTAAAATGATTTCCAATCGAAGACATGTTTGAAATGTTAAGCATTAAAATAATAAATGACTGGTTTCTATGAAGCGTTTATTCAGGTATTCCTTAGTTACGATTACGAATCATGATATCATTTCAACTGACGTCTGTTTAGTTACTAAGTTTAATTGGATACAAGAAAACGCAGTTTCTGAGATAATTTTTTTCAAATGTATGTATTATCTCTAATAAATAGATAAATAACTATACTCTATAAAACTAATGAATACTTAGCTGATCATACAATAAGCTTGCCTACTATATACATTCATCTTTTTTTGTTCTGAATACTATGAACTGCTCGAAAATGAACTATGTAACCTGTTAACTTTAATCATAAACTAATTTTACTTAGAAACAATCAAAACCCGCAAAAAAACTCGACTATAAGTTATGTACGAACCAATCTGGTTTAGGATAACAGGTCTAAATTTTCAGCAAGATATTCATTCACCTATTTATCTAAACATTCTTTCGGTATTCTAGTTGATTAATTAGTTGAGTTTATAAGCCAATTGAAGCTAGACAATCATAGAAAATCTGGAAGCACTGAAAGGCCGCTTCATCAAAGTTTGGAACTCCTCAGTTGTGCGCATCCACGATCCCACATCAAAAGGACTCTAACCTCATGACCTATCAGTCTAGCACCCGAACTCTTCAGTACTAGACCACTGAGTTGGCCGATATCCAATGATTTTAATGTCTAATTTAAACTAATCTACTAAATTGAGCGACTGTCTACCATTGTCTTCAGTAAGTTACTACCTCACAACAGACCCAATTGGATTCCACTAGTGTCGACTTCTCACTAGAACTCCAGTTAGAAGACGAGCATATAGTGATTATTATCAGAAGTTCCATCCAATGCTTCCAGGTTTTCCATAGTGATGTAGCTTCAATTGACTCATTATCTCAACTATTGAAATGACTACAATCTCCACAAAATCTCTTTCTAATACCGATAAATTTAATTCTTAATCCTAACCAACACTTGTAAGTAATCATTATAATTCATCACACTACTTCAAAAACCCTCATTGTATCCTAGTAAGTAGTTGAATATTCTTAAGATTAATTTAACATCTCTTCAAGATCATCCATTAATAAATAGTCTCACTTCCCCCCCCCCTCGTAGAAAAAAGAAAACATCATTACGTAATTTTAAATTCACATGATGTTGTTGTTTTACTTGTATCTTCCCATTGTTATTTAGAACTGCAATTGATCAATTCCATATTGCCATATATGCATCCTGTGCGGATTGCTTCGATATAGCCTTAAGTCACAAGCATTATAAGCAAAGATAGTTAGTGACTAGTAGTAGAATTCAGTTTGACACACGTTTCATCCTATTTGAAACTGATCAACTAAATGTACCTGGATCTCACAATTGATATTCACTTTGACCTGTGACTCAAATCCAGTATATCTGAAAGCTAGATGAACCTTATCTTAATGAAGTTACGATTGATTTAAATAGACAGAATTGTTCAGTTTTATTTTAATCCAGGCAATAGTTAATATTAGTACTACTACCACTACTACTATTACTACCACTACTACTACTACTACTACTACTACTACCATTACTAACACTACTACTACTACTACTACTACTACTACTACTACCACTACCACCAACACTACTACTAGTACTACCACTACTACCACTACTAACACTACTACTACTACTACTACTACCATCAACACTACTACTAGTACTAATGATAATAATATTAATAAACATTAATTAAGACGTGTAATTAGATAATATAACAACATCTGGTCTATAAATAATCATAATAATAACCATTACTATTATTATTATATAGTTTACTGTTGCAAGAAATACAATGTAATACAGACAATTATGTTTATCTCCTGTCTTTTTTCTCTTTCTTCTTTCTTTTTCTTTTTTTCTTTTTTTCTCATATCTCCTTTTTTTTTTTAAAGATTACCCATGTGATTTTATATCATCGAAATGTAGATTATTCACAATGAATGTATCATCAAGAGTAATTGTATTAGTATAAAGAAATTGTATATCTACATATATAGATAGATGTAGATAGATAGATGAAATAGAATCAATTTATTTATGTCCCAGTTAACAGCATTGTTATTATTATAAAAATGATTGACATGATTGAAGATTGATTGTCTATCATAGTAAATATATATGTATGAATATGAATATGGGGTAAATACTAAGATACTAGAATCATACATTTATTATAGTGAATTAAAATATAGAAGATATGATTCAATAATATAAGTAATAGAATAGATGAGTTGATTGATCATCAAGAGAAGGTGGACGAAGGGGGTATCATGAACTTTGTGTCAAGCTAAAATAAAACAAACAAAACAAATCAGTTCAACCTAGTCTGTTGTGAAATAGTAACTCATTGAAGACAATTGTAGATGTTAAAGAGAGTAAGAACAAAGATTGGTGCAGAATAATAAATGAATTCGTTAGGTTCTCATCAGTTGGTTACAACCTAAAATATTTAAAATTCAACATTAATACAGATATTGACATATTTATACATAAGAGGGTGATTAAGTATTAATGGATATAAAGAAAATATGAATTGAAATCAGTCAGTTATGTATAATGTAATTTAAACTTCACATGTATCTGCCAAAGCAGTTACATTGATAGAACAGAAAGGAGAGCCTACGTCCGATTCAAAGAACATATTCCGAAAAGTTTAAGATTAAATGGATTGAACGTATTCAACAGTGCCATCGCAAGACATCTCCTTGACACAGGACATGAAGTTGATACACTGAAGTTCTTCAAGGTGATTAACAAACAATCAAACCCCAACCTCTTGAAATTTGCCGAAGCATTAGCAATCAAACATCTAAAACCAGACCTATGTATACAAAAAGAGACAGTAATAAATCTTTCTTTACCCTGGTAACAATAACCCCCACCCTTTTTATTCATTTATTTCTCTATTTATTTATTGCATCACTACTCCAACTCTTTTAAATTACATCATACATAACTGACTGATTTCAATTCATATTTTCTTTATTATCATTAATCTATTTTCATGAGTTCTAATCACTATTTCAATGTTCTGGAACTTTCCCTCTCTAACTTTTTATTTATTCGAGACAAAAATTTTATGACCTCATCAACCCTATCGGAATCTTCGCTACACCACGATACACATACATTCACCCATTAATCACCCTCTTATGTATAAATATATCAATATCTGTAATAATGTTGAATTTTAAATATTTTAGGTTGTAACCAACTGGTAAGAATCTAATGAAATAAGATGAATTCATATTATTCTGCACCAATCTTTGTTCTTTCTGTCATTAAGATAATAAAGAGAATTATGTGCATGAAATTGTAGATGTGTTACTCAATTTTGTGGATTAGTTGAAATCATATATTAACACCGTTGTATGTCAGTTGGTTTAGTGGTCTAGTGATTAAGCATTCGCATACGAGACAAAAGGTCTTAGTTTCGAATCTGACTTGAAAGATAGTGGATGAACACTATTGAAGACTTTCATACTGGGATGAAACGGTCGTTCAGTGCTTCAAAGTGGTAGTCTAGCTTCTATCGGCTTATGAATTCAACTAATCAATTACTACAATTTTTTCCAAAACCTCTCTCTAATTAAAATTAAGTCTTGAATATATATATATATATACAGTGTGTTAACTTAAATCTATACTGATATTGAGACATTTACTGACAGTCATTCATTTGTGAATATCTGATTTAATCTTGTTGATACAATTGTCAATATTTAGTGTGGATTCAACTTCAACTTGGAAAATGCCATTCATTTTATTTATTCGTTAAATTATTTGATTTTTATGGTTGTAGAATGAATAATTAATGGTATTAATGATTATTGGGCTCTTTGTACTACATGAGTAATTCCTTGTTTAACATCCGAATACCTAGAAGTTAATTTTTACGACATCATTGTCAAAGATCGAACTAAGAAATTTCCGTCAGTTAATCTCTAGAACATTGAGCCAGAGTTCAGTGACGAACAGGTACGATTTCAATCAGTGATATTCCGCAGACAATGGAAGATGGTCGTGCAATTTCATGGATTGATTGAAGTTAGACATTAACACTA